GGGGGCTGCCCTAGTGACCTTGACCTCGTGGCTTGACATAGGGTCAGGTGCTCTTTACGTGTGTCAGGTTGTCGTATTGTTTGTATTTATCTATTTGTTGTTGTTGTTGTTGTTGTTGTTGAGGTGGTTTCTTGTTTCAGTATTGTTTTACGGTACTTGCAACACAAATTAGCCATATATAAGTACCGAAGATTAGAGGAGGAGAGTAACTTGCAACTAAAAGATAAAGGAGAAATAAGGACGATAGAATCAACTGCGCAGATGTTAGATGGGAAAGAGAGAACAAACAAAACTAGAGTTCCCGATAAGCCCCACTATACTCATGGAATTCATGGCAGAAATAATGTTTAAATGTCGTTATTATGGCCACCAGAGAAAGGAAAATAAAGAATAGGCTTGCGACTTAAACTAAAGGCCTTTTTTAGATGAAGGAAAGGTGGAGGGACATAGTAGAAAACTCGAAGGGAGGTAATACAAAGTAGAAACAATACAAAGTTTACAGTATGTTACATCCCCTGTTCGAGGTCACATCAATTTCTAAAATTGAACGAAAAAATATATATATAAAAAGAATAATAAAAAAAAAACAATAAATAAGAAAGCAACGGGGATTTTGGAAAATTTTAAAACTGTACTTTGGTATAAAATCCAGTCTATATCTAATTTTTAAATTTTCTTTTAAAATTTTAAAACACGTGTTTTTGCGAGTGTTAATGTGTGTGTGTGTGTGTGTGTGTGTGTGTGTGTGTGTGTGTGTGTGTGTGTGAGAGAGAGAGAGAGAGAGAGAGAGAGAGTGAGAGGGTGAGAGAGTGTGTGTGTATGTGTGTGTGTGTGTGTGTGTGTGTTTATGTGCGCCCTCGCGCACGGGTGTATTAATACGATCTGTATCGTATATTATATTCCTATAAGTTTGAGGTCTGTACCGAGCTATTAAATGGTTTCCTTATATGTTGCATCGTAGTTTTACACTATCTAAATTTTAAACTCATAAAAGTTTTATTGTGGCATCAAAATTTTGGGTGCATTTTGAGCACCCCTTGGTTTCATCTGAACGCGGTGTCGAATTTTATTTGTATTCGAATCAGACCCATCAGGTCTTATCAAAGATGTTAATTGTAAAAGCCGTCTTCTCATTGTTGCCACATGTTTGTTGGTAGTTTTTAGACGGTTTTTTAAATTGGTTTTGCGTGCCATGTAATAAAAACTGTAGAAATGCGACTCGTCTTTGCTGGCCTGACGATTTACTTTATTCAGAGACATGATAACTGATGCTTGCAAGGCTCTCATCGAGAATGTCTAATCATTGCTCGTCGTATTTATATGTGCATGTATATATGTAATACTTTATATCCTGTAATTCCATAAAGTTAATTGCCTTTTCTATCTGTTTAACTCACATGATACCTGCTTGATTTTGCAAGGTTTGATCAATCAATTAAGCATATGCAAACCATATATAAAGACAGTGCGTTACCTGCATATCCAGGGGAACAGACACAGTTAGGAGAACCATCGCTCTCCTCACAACTGCCGTGCACACACGTGACCTCTGTGCATACCTTGACCTCGACCTCGCAGTGGGCCCCTGTCCAGCCCGCCGGACAGAAACACGAGTAGCCAGTGGCCTGGTCCAGACACGACCCACCATTCTGACACGGACTGGACATGCACTCGTCAATGTCCACTTCACACGTCGGTCCTGGCAAATATTGTTTTTGTTTGTTTACGATAGAACAACACACCACAACAATCAAAGCTGGTCATGTGATTTCATGAAATCTCAACGTGAGAGATTACGTTTCCTTTATATTAAAAAATGGAACCATGGCATTCAAATGAATATCCGCAAAATACAATGGTTAAATTCACATGAAAAGGAAGAGATCTCTAAAAGACTTGTATAATCTCCATCTTTTTGCTGGTCTTTCATTTAAAAAAGCCCGGCTGGCCCTGACAGATAGGATTGTAACAGCCAACTTCCCAAATTGTACGAAGAGGGAATGAAAACAAGCACATTTAAGTACGCCTTTTTATATTCTAGACTTTGAACGTTCTTCTCTGCATTCGTTCTATCACTGGGTGCATTTTTCAGTAAGACAAAAACATGATTTAAGAGACTTGCTAAAATTCCTTGAATTTGGTAAAAGGTACCGGGCAGGCAGCTGCTCTGAAAGACAGAAGTGACTTTAAGATAGAAGAAAAGAGGACCCGGTTCGGGGAGGGGGGGGGGGGGGGGGGGGGGGGGGGGGGGGAGGGGGTGTTTTTAGCAATAGCCATCTCTCTCTAACAGACTGACCAGAAAATCCAGGCGTACAAAGACAGGAGAAGCCGCTGACTTCGTTCTGACAGGACCCTAGGTTGAGGCAGGGTTGTCCCAGACAATTGTCCACGCTCTCCTCACACCGGGCACCAGTGTAGCCCGCCTGGCAAACACACCAGGCTGTTTCATTGACTAGGACGCACTGACCACCGTGCTCGCAAAATGTGTCGTTGCACACGTACTGGGCTGAAAATGGTAAGAAAAAAGAGATTAGGCTTTTAGTTCTATCGTGGAGGGCTAAAACGTTAATGGTACCATCCCAAGAATACTACATGTTTTGTAGATAGATATTGTGGGAATCGGTTTCTCCGATGTAAACATTTATGATCTGCATGTGTCGTCAACCAATCAATCTCCTGCAACCAGGACCCATCACACCAACAGTTTTGTTTTGAAACTCAAAACTCAAAACTCATTTGCTTTCTCAGCAGATTATAACAGAAGATATAACTTTTAAAAGTCTAGAGCAAATAAAACACATATATGTACAGGTACACTACTGATCCTTCTGTATGGTGTTTGCACACCGCCTTTTTTTAAAGAGAAAAAAATATTGACGGACAGAGTGGAACAAGCCAAACAATCAGTTCTAACGAAAATGAAAAAAAGACTAATATCAATCCCTTCCCCGGGACTCTTCATTACCGGTATGTTAAACAAAAACAAATAATAAATATACCGGTACAAGCTGAACTGTTGGTGACACCCTCGCCCTCTGTTGTCTCTGTTCCCTCACACAGGTAACATTCTGTGGCCCCGGCCTCGGGCTGATAGGACCCCCGGGGGCAAGGCTGGCAAGGCACCAGTCCTGTCTCGCTGTAGTTGCCTGGTCCGCACAAATCTGTATCAAGTAAAAAGTAAGTGTATAGTTTTAACATCCGTATGAATACTATCAGGCTATTTAAGAGGCAGGACCTTCGAGTTTATCGTTCCGTCTCCAACTAGACTGAGTCGAGTGGGTCGAGACCCTTTCAAACTAAACAAAACGACATGATGTCAAGAACACCCAGTCTGGGTTTTGAATCAGAACTATCCGCCCCGTAGTCCAGAATGATACCAAGTGAGCAAACGGAGTGCCCTCTGTATCAATGACAGGGCAAGGTAGAAGAGGAGAAAAACACACGTTATTTGATTCCCTCTTTTTGGACTTTAATTGTCTTAGGTCTAAAACAATCCAAGCTCATGGGAAGATACTGGCGTCGAAGTACGCCAAGATGAACAAAATGATGAAAGCGAAAGCCTTTACAACTTCGTCTATAGTCTTGAAATAACACAAACGCTACCCAATACATTTGTACCAATGGGTGTCGTCTTAGGTTTCATGTCGGTGCTGTTTTATGTTTCCGTTTTTCTTCCCATTAGCTTTTCCACTAGTTGGACGTTGCTTCTCTTACCTATCTGAAAGGAAACACCCTGTCTCTTGCTTTTCTGCCGGCCTAAGATGTTTTGGTTCCAAGTCAGGTTCTCGTCTTGTTCCTGTCTTCTCTTACGTCTTCTCCCTCCCTTCGTGTCGTCTAACTTGACTTCCATTAATGTTTCTCGAGTGAAGCATGGCGTTGGATGTATAGAAAATCGTTTAGCTTCAGCTTCATTCTATTCTGGATGTAAGTTGGCGTTTCTGTGCCCTTTCTTTTTAATACTTCTTAATATTTCGCATCCACCCTATTCGAAGAGTTCTGCTATACCATTTCATTTTGAACTACGTAATTCTTTGAGTATCTTGTTTATTGTTTCAGTTAGAACGTGACTACAGGTTAGTTGTAGCAAACTGATGAAACCTGCCTTTTTCTTATTATATAAAAGAAACAATGCACCGGCCAAAATATATCCCCACACTCTTGTGAACTTGTATCCCTGCGCCCACTCTAATCTCAAACACTCACTCACACTCACACCATCATTGGTATCAGTCGCCAGTGCAAAGTGTCCTCTTTCTACGTCTGCGTTAACGTGTCTTTGATCAAGATACATCCCACTTTACCGTATTGATTGTACTATTTTACGCACCATCGACAAAACCAAAATGATATTGAAAGCTGACTGCTTTAACTCTGCCGGACAGGGCGAGCCTGGGGTGAGTGAAAGACAGCACCCTAAGGACAGACAGAGATACGGTGCTTTTGCCACCCCCACCCCCTCCATTGACGCTGTTTACATCATTTACGAGGCAGATAGCTTTGACTTGCCTGTCATAACCAACCCAGGCTGAGAGGGATGCCACATCCCAGCAGAAAGACCGAGATACTCGATACAATTCCCCCCTCTCGGACTCGGATCTCCTGCGCCTTACAGCAACACCACAGACGCCGGTCATCTTTATTTCCACTAACTCACGTAAGCACTGTGACCGATGGACAGCCCCCGGGTGCTGCGTGTGACGTCCAGCGGGGCAGCGGAGGCAAGCACTTGCCGAGCGGAAGGGCTGATAGCTGTGTCGTGGACACTTCTGGCACGGTGCCAAACCAGAGCTGGAAAACTCCCCAGGGCTGCACAGTGCTGGAAATGTAAAAATATAATGAGACAGTCATTGGACAATCAGTGCTTAAATCCTTTTTTGGGGGAGCGGGAGGTGGGGGGGGGGGGGGGGGGGGATAGTTGAGTTGTTACCATATTTTAAGTACTGGGATAACAATACATGTATCAGATACATACAGCAAATAAAAAAACAAACAAACTATGTCACGACTGGGAGCTTCCACTGATAATGCCATTGGATTGGGCTTACGAATTAAAGTTCGTCCTTCGCATACGAAGATGACCTGACTTCACATGACCAGGTGTGTGTGAAAAAGGGTGGAAGGGGGGGGGGGGGGGTGGAGATGGCTGACCAGGCCGATTGGTGATGATGAAGTCATGACTTGCGCTTGAATTTGATTAACCCTATCCGTACGCACTGGGGTCATTTTGTACCTCCGGGTTGTATTCTTCACATTTTAGAATACTTCTAGTTCAAAGATCTCTTTGAAACTTTCAGTATTTCTCTATAAATCATTTTGACAGACTGATATGCAAAGCGTACGGATCGGATTAACGAATAAATTTCATCTTTGGAAAGTAGAGGCACAGAGTTCCCCACGTCGTATGGATACGATAGCAAAACACGACGTACGGATCGAGTTAAAGTGATCGCGCCCCATGTCGTTCTGCTGGGACTGCCTTCGCTGCCAGTTGAACAATTCGAGTGGTTTCATCCGCATAGTCAACATGCCATGATCATGATAATTGATCCAAACAATCAGTCAATCTCTCAATAAATGATTGCTTAATCATTTTTCAGTTAATCATTTTTAGCATTGTATCGCACAGCAGGCAGCCCAATGCATGAATGAAGATGACAACATTTCTATATGCCCAGAGGGAAATGTTTTCTGTTACACTTTCCCCTGATCCCATTTATCCCCTAATTCTCTCGTTACATCTCTCTTACACACCCCTCTTTCTCGCTTTCTCTCTCTCTCTCTTTTCTCTCTCTCTTTCTCTTCTCTCTCTCTCTCTCTCTCTCTCTCTCTTCTCTCTCTCTCGTCTCCTCTCTCATCCTCTCCCTCCCCCCCCTCTCTCTCTCTCCGTCTCCCATCCCTCTCTCGTCCTCTTTATTTCTCTCTACTCGTCACCCACCCTATCTCTCTCTTTCTCTCTCCCACCCTCTCTCTTTCTCTTTTTTCTGTCATGTCTCCCTTTTCATATTCACTTTTATGCACATCCTTTCTCACGTTCTCTAGTCCATATGCTCTCTTAATCTTTAGTTTCTTTGATATGGAGTTGGGTACATAAGTTTTATTTTTAAAAGGATGAATGTCAAGGAAAGACAAACAGAATGAATGTAAAGTAAGTGTACCCTCAAGCAAAATTACACTCAAAAAGGTCTCCACAATCCTTGCATAGAGAGACCAGAACTGCATATTATTCAATAATCACTTGGTCACCGGTCCTAGCTGTTAATAAAGGAGAGCCAAAAACGTATGTAGCATTTTGTCAAAC